AAAACATGGTGGCGTCATTGAAAACAACAACGTGCAGCACAAATAACCCCCAAACTCCCAAGCTCCCGGAAAAATTACTTCCAACACACCACCAACACTAATAATAATAATAATAATAATTCAAAAAAAAAAAAAAAATTTAAACAGCAGTTGGGAATACGTCCCCCAGACAAGTAGAATAACGTCAACAGTAAAAGTAAAAATAAACAACAGCAAAAAATAAATAAATACAAGTCAACATATATATATATAGAGATATAGATATAGATGCGGGCCGCGAAACCAGACACCGACTCTCCCACGGCAAGTTAGGGAGGGAAATGGAAGGAATGAAAGTCACGGGGGGCGCAACGAAGTCCTGCCCATCACCCATCCCACCGCCGCATGTCAACTGCCCACGTCTACTTATTCCCTTCCCTCCGTGCGTAATTTGAGCAGCTTCTAATAAACTCTAACAGGGTAAGAAATGTGTCCACACTTACACACACAATAAAATAAAAAATAAGAAAAACATCAAAAAATTCCCCTCCTCCTCCTCCCCTTTTTTCCATTTTTTTTTTTTCTTCACTTTATTTATATTTTCTTAGACTCTTCTTTTCAGCCGCTCCCTAAACAGCAGGTATGTCAAGAGGCATCGTTCAATTATCTCCTCCCCACCCAGCTCAGCCAATACATATATATTTATATTTATATTTATATATAATGGACACAGAGAAGGTTTGAGTAACGACTCCGAAAGAGCACACACAAATACACAAAACTACACGTTTGCAAAAATAAAAATAAACAACAACAACAAAAAAAAAAAGAAGTCGTGAAAGGTAAGGGTATCAAAGATATTTATTATTGTTATTATTCTTTCAACCATGATAGCAGTGTGTGGGGAAGGTGGGGCCTTGACAAAATCTCCTCGACTTTCTTTTTTTTATGTTTGTTCTTTTCTAGTTTTGTTTTTGGTGTTGTTGTGGTAGTGGTGTTTTTGTTCTTCTTCTTTTTCATTTTCGCCTTCTACCCGCTTTTAATGGCAAATCAGGGGCTAATGTCCTTGCTTTTGACTGTTGTGTTCCCCCCCCGCACCCGCACACCCCATCCAAATCACACACGCACAGTTGTGTGGTGCCACTTCTACTTCCACTCCTTTTACTTTTCTTTGCATCTCGTGACGGTTGGTGGTGGTTCCTTCAATTGCCGCACAGAGAGCTTTTCCTTTCATAGGGCACGGAGGCCCGTCTGGACCGTAATGAACGAGACGCGGAAGGAGGGCGGCAGCTGACGGCATCGCATAATTCCTTCAAAGTAAACAACAGTTGTGACCTCACAGACTCGCATGTAGAAAGAATTCGCCGAAGTGTTGCGAGGGCCCTTTTGCGAACCTCGTAGACATGTCCCCGTGTTGTCTCCGTGCTGTAGCTGGGCGGGATATCACGTTCCATCCGCTGAATGCACCTAAGAAATTCCATCACCCGCACCGCCCCAATTTCCAAAAATTCCCTGCTCTTTGCATCCACTTGGCCCTGCTTCAGGCAATGCCAACATGTATCTTCCACACTGACAGAAAATTCATCAAAAAAACCGCTCATAAATTCCCCACAACGCTTCCCCAATAAGGCATCTTGATGCCGCGCAATATCCCCAGAGGAGGGAACAGTACTCGGTGCGCCACCGGTGGTATTAAAATTGGCTGTCTGTTCCTGTTGCTTTTCTTGATTATTATTATTATTATTACACTTCTTGTTGGCAACAGAACGATGCTGCCGCGCAGACAATGCGGAATCGCTAAAACGACGCCCACCTGTATTGAAAGAAGCAAGCGGAGAGGCATCACGACCATTCGAAGGAGTTTGGCGTTTGCCCCATGCATGACATACTGCGGATGACGGGCACGACTTCTGTCGCCGCAATGGCCGTGCAGAAGAAATCGATTTTAAGTGGGTACGCCCCGCTGGATGCGGATGGGGCGCACGAACAGTCTCACCAAAACTCGTGCGCCGTGACGTGCTGCCAGACACTTCAGAATGCTGGTGAGGTCCTATCGAGGAATTACGTGATGCGGGCTGCGACGACGCGGGGTACTCGTGCCGCGGAACTCCCACCACAGACCCGGAATCCACCCCTTCTGACGTATGGCACCGTTCCTTTTGCTTCTCCGACGACTCGGCATGTGGTGCAAATTCGGAATCTTTGGAGGGTTGGTAGGACATGCTGCGTGACGACATGAGCACAGAAGACGGGGAGCGAAAGAGCGGTGGCGGCACGAAGAGTTTGTGGGCTGTAACACGTTGCCGTGACAGCAAAGAGACTCCTGTGTTACTCCCGTTCATTTGCGATGCCGCGTGCACAACGACAGGCTTCCTCTCCAACGCGTTGACCTCCGCTGTCGCCGGTCTCACATCTGAAGATTCAAACGCCCTCAATTTCGTTACGGCGGTGGTGTTGGAGTTATTCGCATGAGTGTGTCCTACACAAGACGCAACGGGCTGCTGCTGCACCCCTTCGGGGCGACGCTCCTCCCTTTCCCTCGGCGTCTTTGGCGGTTCTTCGCCCTCACAGTCCCCGTTCGCGGCACATGGAGATTCCTTCTTTCCCCTCACCGCCTTCACGGATGTCCTTTTGCAGGCGTAACGCTGGTCTCTGTTTGTCATCATATCCCTCAGCGGTCCACCGCCGTGGGCCTCCGTGGGCGGCGGCGGAGATAAGAAATTGCTTCTCTTCTCCAGCTGGAGTGCCGCTGCCATGTACGGTGAGAAGGTGGACGACGTCACACTACAATTCTCGTTGGAGACACGGTCGTAAGATGCCGTTTCGGTTGAGGCCGCCTCTGGCACCTCTGCTGCTGCTGCTGCTGTTTCTTCGTTTGCCTCTGCTGCCTTGGTGCACGCTTCGTCCACACGTCGGAGACAAAATGCTGATGGCTTTTCATTCAACTCCAACGTGTCTCCGATAAAAATGGCCCGCAATACATTGGTTTCAGGAATCAAGCAGATGCCAGCATTATACATTGTAATGTACGCCGACTCAATGGGATCGTTATGTGGGGTTGAGCCGCGCCCATGATCCGCAACATCACAGCGGTAACGTCCGTTGCTGGCATGATTATTGTCACCATCACTTCCCAACGGAGAACTGGCTGATTCATCAACGCCATTGCCTTTGCTGTGGTGGTCGTGATTGACTCCAAACTTGACCGCAATTCTGGTAAACATATCATCGCTCACAAGGGCCATAGTTGTCTTCTCATGTGTGTATGGCCAAGCCATCGTCGTCTTTTCAGGCGGCATGAACGCCACCAACGCACCAGAGTGATCCAAGAGAGACTCGTACCTGCTATTTAACTGTGTGTCGGCAATAAAAAAGGCGTAGCTCCGCAGCAGTCTGCGTGGGGGTGGTTGTGGCGGCGCCAAGAGGAATTCACCCACGTTATAAAATGACCTCAAGGGCGGTATATGTTCTTCCACAGGAAATTTTGAGGAGATGGAACGGGCCAAAGTGGGTGAGGCAAATTGCAGGGGAGAGACAGCGCTATCCTCCCGGAGTTTCTCCACGAGGGACCTCACGTAACTTGGTGTCGTCACATGATACTGGTGGGTCATCGCAAGCAGCACTTCGGGCGTCATCTCGTACCCATCTTGTGTCACGTAAAGAAACCCAATGCAATCAATCTGCATGTGAAAAAATGTCTCACGTGGTAAGACGGGTTCATGCAGGATCGATGCACCCAAAGAAACCGCGTCGCTCAAAAGCAGCAGCCGTTCCGCCTCGTTCAGCTTGGACGATGCCACTAAAATCAGTGCCGTGCTGAGCACCCGAGCGGTCACGCGCCTGCCAAATTTAATAGTATCCTCACGGTAAACAAAGCAGCCATTTTCGCGGCCAATGAGCTCCTTGTTGACCAGTGTGCCGTGCTTGGAGCGATCCGTCACACTCACATCCATCTCTGTGTTCGGGTCCAACACGTCATATGGTGACGTGGCCCGCACGGTGATGGTGGCGTGGTGACGCGAGATGGAAGGGTCGCCGTTGGGCAGCGGCAAACGACACTCTTTTCGCCCAACGGTGTACGTCTCCCCAGCGAGAAGAAAGTGCCGCCGCACATCGCCACGACCGCAATTTACCTCCAGAACCCGCATGGACGGCCAAATGTAATGCGTCCTGCACCCCGCTCGCCCGCCCCCCTTTTTTCCTCCTCCTCCTCCTTCAAGGTTTGAGGCAATAAGGAGCAAAAACAGTGATCCTGCTGATAGGGGTCAGTAATAATAAAAACAACAGTCTCCCTCAACCCTGTTCCCAGTGATGCTCCCCTTCTTTCCTTTTCTATTCTTTTTTGGTTTGGTTTGTTTGTCCCCAGTTCCTCTAAACGCGTTTGATTCGCAAGTGCCCCCCACCCTACACACACAAACAAGCAGAAAGAGAGAGGGAGAGAGAGACAGAGAAAAAAAAAAAAAGAGATGATATTCAAAAGGGAGAGAAAAAAAAAGGGGGGGACAGCCACAAAGAGAGCTACACGGCAGTCGTCATGGTAAATGCAAACAACATCCCCTCGCTTTCCTTTTTTTTTTTTCTTCTTTTCTTAAAAGGAAAAATTGTAGGTTGAAAGAACACTAACGCCCCTATATGGCTGAATCACACACACACACACACACAGAGAGGAAGGCACATAAGAAAAAATAAACGCGAAAGAGTGACACTCGCTGGCTACAGAAGATTCATTGCAGCAAGTTCATGGACGGTGGGGCAACCCATCAGTTTGTACACGTACTGTACCTTGTGCATGTACTCCATGGACTGAAGAAATATCATCTCAAATGCCATCCGCTGCAATGCCAAGTCCGCCATGTGCTTTGTCAACTCATCCAACTCTTCCCGTGTCTCCACTGAGAGAAGCTCCCACAGCAGCTGACGAACAAAAAAAGCCTTCTTCTCTTTGCTCTCATACGGCTGCCAACCAAAGTAGGCTTTGATTCGCTGCAAACGTAAAGCGTCATACATTCTTTCACCGTTGCTTCTTCCCCAGCACTTCTGTGTGAAGTTAGTCATCATTCCCGCAGAGATTGGAGGAAACAGCTGCGTGACTAGGCGTGAAATGCGCAGTTTCCACATACGTTCCCCGCTATACCAAAAACCAAATGGGCTACGTCCTTGCAGTACATGCGACAAGGCTTGATGGGGTGGTTGCGTCAAAAAAAAAAGAAGCGCCTCCAGTTCTGCACGCCGCATCGCATCATCCATGACATGAAGATGATCCCATGTTGTATGACGGGTCGCGTAGTGGTGTACGCTTGGCGCTGTCATCATGCAAGAATGCAGGATTTCCTCACCTGACCAGTCCCGTGCGTGTGCGGCGTATAGGAAAAGAAAATACTGCAAGTTTGTGTGGTCGCGATCACCAATGTGCACGCCCATCGTCGCACCTAGTGGCTCCTGACACAAGTGGCACCACCCGGTTTTGAGGTCCAGCCAAGCCTGTTTGTTGTTGCCCTCAAAAATATCAAACGATCGCTCCGTCATGGGCGTTGTTGACTCCGGCGACGTACCACGTGTGCCAAGGCGGCAGTGTGCATCCATGGCACCTAAATGCTGCCCAAGCGACGGGCCGGTGCTGAGCGTGGCGGCCCCCACCAGTTGCCGCAGCGACTTGGACGACGAGGCGGAGGAACAAGATCCCGTCCTGGCTACCGTGCAGACAGGGGTCAGCTTTGGTGCCAACAGAAGAGTCACTCGCCCGCAGCGCATGGCCTGAAGATGATGGGATCCAATCGCGGACCTATTCACGTGCCACCTATCATCGACAGCAGACCAAAAAATAAAAATAAAAATAAAAAATAAAAACAAATGCTCAGCCCATGTACATTCGTGTAAACACATACAATGATGCATCTTCCCTCTCCATTCTTCGTTGACAATGATCACGCCGGCGTGGATGGCGCCCAGAGCGTATATTTATTTATTTATTTATTCACATTTGAGGTGGAAGGGCAAAGAGAGGGAGAGAGAGAGAGAGAGCCGCTGGAAGACTCTCTAAAAAATTGATTTTTTTTTTTTTGAAACCGTCATTTCCAGTTCCAACTGATATTACTTCGTCTTCTTAAGCTTCGGTGGAGAAAAGGAAAAAGAAGAAGGAGGAGGAGGATGGGCGGCCCTTGCGGACATTTCTTTCCTTGCAGGGTGCGAGGATGCCGCGACGAGTCGTTTGTACGCTTCCCACCCCCACCAACACGGAACGAAAAGATAACAAAGACAGCCAAACACTATCGCAAACCAAAAGTACAGCAAATAGTGCGGTGTAAACTCCAATTTATAGTCCACGTCAAGATGTGGCATCCCGCTAATTATCTCCTCCCCAATATACACTAAAGTGCCGTACGCCTGCGTCACACAGGAAAAAAACTCCAGTGCGTCACGGTGTCGGCTGTGGGTTTGATAGGCCCTGTATAGCAAAATACAAAGCGGCCCTTTCACGAAGAGTTCCATGAGGGAAACAACATGCACCGCGGATCCTTCAAAGTTGCCCAACGCCGCACCGTAACGCTTGTCAAATTTCTCGTAGTTTCTTGCAAGGAGTGTGCTCGCCTTAAAAACACCAACGAGACCGTCCATGAAAATGTGAATCACCACGCCGTTAAGAAGATACCAGCGGGCCCGCATCCGCTCGTAGAATGTTGACAAGGGCGGGGAACGATACCTCCAACGGGCAATCTTCGCCTCGGCAACAGCAATAAAGAGCAGCGCTGCGGCAAACAACATTGCTGGCTCAGTCAAGTACCCAATGACATCTGCGTACGTGAGGTGCTCACGATCCACAAGGATAGGCACAAAAATGCAGGAAACGCAGAAGTATACAAAAGGATCCACAAAAACCTCCAAAAACATTACGTCGGCGAAAAGATATATAAAATAATAATAATAATAATATAATTCCTCTCAGACTTACGCCCTACAGGCATCAGAGAACAGTAAAAAAAAGAGAAAAAAGAGAAAAAAGAGAAAAAAGGAAAAAAAGAGCTCCCAACAACTTAAAGAAGTGGAGTCAGTCCGCATCCTTCTTTTATCGTTCGTCGCCCACCACCACCACCACCACCGCCCTGCCTCTTCACAACTTTACATGCAATCACCACTCTCCCCAACTTCCCCCTTCATTTTTCCCCTTTTCATCGTTCTTTCCTCTCTCCCCGTGTGTGTGAATCAAACAGCCATTCACCCTACTTGAGCAGCTGCCCGAAACGCAGCTCCAACGGCTCCCACCCAAAGCCTTCCGTCGCCTCCCCGCTTCCCGCATCCACGAGGCACGGCGGCATCTCCCCGCTCCACGGCTTACGCCTCCACTTGCAACAAGTGAAATCCAGTCTGTAACGCCGTTGTCAAATCCGTCCGAAGCCGATATTCCCAGTATGACATCGCGCAAGGGCTTGGAAAGGATGGCGGAAAGATGATGCTCAGCACATCCGCCAGTACTTCCTCCTTCAGCAGTCGATCCGACAGTGTCGTGGTGGAGAGCGAGGGGGATGAATTCACTTCAATCAGATGGGGTCGCAGGCAGTCATCGATGAGTATGTCATACCCGTACAGCTCAAAACAGTGCCTGTCGTTGAACATCACAGACTCCATCGCCCTAAGGCTGTGATAAATCGTAAACTCAATGCTCCGCATCAATCCATCCGCGCACACCGCCCCGTATCGACCCTGCACAAAGAGGCACAAATTCGCCAAGGACCACTTCCCGCCATGCACCTCGTTGTATGCATCCTCGCCCTTCTGCAATGCCACGTTCGTAAGGTGTGAGCAGAGGTTATCATCCTTGAGGGCGTTGGCGACATAGGGAGTGGCACAAAAGCGGGCAAAGCCCTGCTCATGCAAGTACGCCACCAATGGCTTAAAAGATGTTACAAGCACATAGAGACGCAGATCAAATTTCTTTCCACCAATCAAAAGTGGATTGGCAACGTACTTGGAGACAACAAACGTGCTCGCTGGCAATCCCTCCGCCTCATCTGCCTCCTTCCTCTCTTTAATCCACCTCTTTAGCTGTGTGATGCGATTGATGAGAAAGATGCCGCGACCCTGTGAACGAGATGTGGGCTTCACAATCCACGTGCTACAAGGCTGCCGTCTAAACTCCTGCGTGAACATTTGGAAATCATTCGGAATGTTGTACGTCACGGGCACGCAATCTACAAAACGCAGCCAGCCGGATGGTTTCTCACTCCATTCGTACGGTGCCCGACATGGCGGCGTATACCGCACCATCAGCTGTGCATTGTTGGGGTCTCGGATGTACTTCTTGATGTTTTTGTACATCAAGTCCTTCCGGGTCAGCTCATAGTGGTTCGGAAAGTGATTTATGATCTGCGTGTCGGTCAGGCGGTATTCCGCCGTGGAGAAAATGCTGCGCACGCGCCCCACATTCATCCAAAAAAAGTGCCAGTCGTCGGACATCACGTCTTCGTCCTCCAAAATCTCAATACTGTGCGGGAAACGCTGAAAGGCAAAGTGAATTACGTGCTTATCCAAGTCTGTGCGGTAACGCAGAGGCGGGGTGTCGTCCCCCTTTGCGCGGTCCTCCAATAACGAGAGCGGCGTGCTGGTTGCCCCTGCCGTTGCGACAGCCGGTGCTGCCACAGACGATGTTGTGAACGTTTTCTTTGTTGACATGACTTGGGCAGCCTTCGAGCTCCCATTTGCCTCTGTGTGCCTCGCAGTCCCGTACTCATTCCAAGACTGCGCTTCCTTGTGCCGCATCGATCCTCACGTTCTCTAAGCGAAGAAACTTTCGCGGTGACAAAAAAGAAAAAAAAACACCACCCGCGTTATTTTAGTTTTATTTATAAAGTCTTAAGTTCCCTTTTCAATTCACGGCCCCTCCTCCCTCTCTCTCCAAATAAAAAAATAAAAAGGTTAGAAGGAGATGTGCGTACGTGCCGCTTATGCCTGTTGCCTTTTTAACGGTATCCCCTTCGGCCGGTTGAATCCGCCCCGTCCACACCACCGTTGGCTCTCCAAAATTGCACCCTCTTTGATGTCGGCAAAAGAAATGTAAGAGAAAAGAGGAAAAAAAAAAAAAACGGCAACAGGAAGTCTCTGTGACTTGTTCCTAGCGATGTCCACGGCGACGCACCCTCGCCCACCGAGGGACAAGGGGGGAAAAAAAAGAGAGATAAAAAAGTAATCGCAACAAAACGCACGATGGGGGTGCAATTAATCAATTAATGAGAGCTCGTCGACCCCATTTCCCTGCTCGCCCTCTTCTTCTTCTTCTTCAGTGTCGGCTGCTCTGATGAACTACCATTCACCGCCTCGCGTGTATCCCTACCGCACGTACGAGCAGCGCCAGCAGCCGTGTGATGATGATTTTCCGTGTGGCTTACTTCCCGCCGCCCTCTCTTTGCAGCCTTGCATCCGCCATAGGACGATTCATGCCGGTCTCCTTCCTCATCGGCACGTGTCACGGACAATGTTTCCGCCGACTCTCTGCGGCGCTTGCGTCCACATAATTCCACTTTGTCTCCTGCACGGGAAACACTCTTCTGTTTCTTCATTGGCCTCTCCTCCTGCCCAGTGTTTCCTGGCGCCCTACCCCCGTCGTGTCGGAGGAGTTGCCTCACGTCTTCATCCTCCTCTCCCAAGAAACGCCGAATTTCCGCAATAAAAGCCTTGTCATTCTGGCGCAGCATGTGCCGCTTCGCCTCAGCACTGCTCTCCTCGCTGCGTGACTGCTTCTCAACCAGCTGACGCTGGGCGTTAAGTTTCTTTTTCAGTCGCCGCAGTGTCTTCTTGTCACGCCCCTCCGGCATTGCAAGGGAAGATGCCTTTTCAAGTGTCTTTTGCAGCTGCCGCGCCGCAGAGGGCTCCTCGCTTGACTGCATGTGAACTGGAATGCGCCGCACCTCACCGTCACTGCTGCCACGCTTGCATTTCTGAGGTCGCCTTGCTTCACGGACAGTGCCAGCCACAAACGGCTGCATGGTGGTTGTGACGCCACGATTGCTTGACGATAATGTCTCGGCCGCTCGGCAAAAAGGCGATAAAAAGAGCAGATCCCTCACATACGAAGGATATGTGTCTGTAACGTACTCAAACGACTCCGGCAGTGTGACACATTCAACGAGAGGAAGTGGTTCCTCCCGCTCAATCCTTCCTTTTGACGCCAGCATGCGATGCTGCTCATGTCGTGAGAGACGCCGTGGTGGCTGAAGGACGTTCAGCTGCACAGGAGACGTGAAATCCCGCAGACACTGTTCGCTGACCGTCAGGAACTCGCCTGCAACCTCAACAGCCTGCTTGGCGGCATCTGCCACCATTGCGGCGTCGTTACTCGTGAACAACTGCTGCGCTATGGTCTCATACTTGCGTGAGGAGCGAAGCGCCTGCGCCACACTCGCAGGTAACGTCGCCTCTGTGGGCATCAGTGCGACAAATGTCTCCAGCGGTGTCAGAGGGCCACGGGCGTCACGACGGGGTTGAATGCGAATGCCGCGGCGATTCTTCAGGCAGTGGAGTACCGCCGCACGGAGGTGGTTGAGATGGGGAGACATGGGCGCAGGTATGTACTGGTAGTCGGGGCACACGCCGGTAACGGTGGTGTAGAGCGACCACAGCGAGGCGCGAAGCAACTCCATGCCTACTCCCGCATCGCAGTCGCCGGTGTAGTCGGATGCCTGAAGAACATCCGACAAAAAATCCACGTCGATGGACATCAAGTCCGGGGCGACCAGGCAACGCCGCATCGACGCCGCTCGCACAGTGCGGTACCGCTTCCACAAGATAGGTGCCACATCGCCCACCCCAACGTAGTGGTCACCGCCGTTAAGAAGAAAAAGAAACACAAAGTCCACCCGCACCGAAGCGAGTTCTTGCACGGTTAGCCGAAACTCCCCGGCTCCTTGTGTTCCGCCACGCAGCCACCGGTACAGCATTTCGGAAACACTGATGAGCTGCATTGAAGAAGGCCCCACGACGAAGAGATTGTGGTACTGCGTCGCCCCCAGGCACGTCAGGGTGAGATCAATGTCATTGCCAATCACAACAACCGTGTGGTTCGGGTTGTACCGCTCGCCCCGCGAGAGGGAGGCGGTGGCAACGTGGGCAAGAGCCCGCGCGATCTTTGCCTCGCCCTCGCCAGCCGCCGTGGAGCCGTGAAGAAAGACAGGAACAAAGTGGGGCAGAAATCCGCGCCCACCTCGCAGCTTGAACTGCGCCGCCAAGGCGTTCTCCAACTCCACAAGAAAGAGGGAGCCGGGCGTCACGGCAAGTGATGTCAATTGCTGCGCACTGCCCGTGTCGAGCAGCGCCAACCGCCGTCTTCG